CTCCGAGTTGGTTGGTATTGGTGCTGGTGAGACCAAGAACCCCGAGAAGAGCGTTCCTAGCGCCGTCCGCTGGACATTCTGGGGCATCTTCAGCTTGTTCGTGGCGACCATCTTCTTCGTCGGCATCATTGTGCCGTCCGACAACCCATCGCTTCTGCTCGACTCTCAGGATGCCTCCGCGTCACCCTTGGTTATCGCTGCCAACTTGGCCGGTGTCAAGGTTCTCCCCGACATCATCAACGCCGTGCTCCTGACTGCCGTTCTCTCCGCCGCCAACTCCAATGTCTACTCTGGCTCCCGCATTCTCGTTTCGCTCGCCAACGAGAGGTGCGCACCTCAGTTCATGACCTACACCAACAGGTTCGGAACTCCCTACTTTGCAGTTGCCACTACCTCTGCCGTCGGTTTGCTCGCGTACATGAACCTGTCATCCAACGGTGGTGTTGTCTTTGACTGGCTCTTGAACGTTACTGCCGTCGCTGGCTTTATCAGCTGGTCGTGCATCAACATCTGCCATCTGCGCTTCATGGCCGCCCTCAAGGCCCAGAACATTCCGCGTAGCAGCCTGCCTTACCTTGCGCCACTTCAACCTTACCTTTCTTGGTACGGTCTGTTCTTCAACGTCCTCATTATTCTGACCAATGGATTTGCCGTCTTCATCGAGTGGAGCACCAGTGACTTCTTCACTGCCTACGTCAGTGTCCTCCTGTTCATCGTCCTCCTGGTCGGTCACAAGATTTTCAACCGCACGATGCCCCTGAAGGCCATCGATGCTGATGTTACGAGCGGCACTCTGCGATCGCAATCATAAAAACGACGGGTGACGATTTGAATGAGCAAGGACGGAGATTATAAAGTAATCTGATGTAACATTAGTAGAAGAGTTGTAATGATGATACCCATGAGTTCAAAATATGCAGCGTAGCGATGATTCAAAGTGATTGATGAGAAGCTCCGTTTTGAGCAGATAACCACCGGACACAAGGATGCCGAGTTGACTTTGGGGAACCGCAGCTAGATCAAGAAACGATACTGTAAAGACCAACAGCACCACCAAGACCGATGGCAATGCCTCTTCCAAGATTGTACAAGCCCCATTGATCCACGAGAGATTTGGCCCCCTCCTCCTCATCCTGGGTCAGGCCAATGGCCATGATGCCCATATCCTTGGTTTCCTCTGCTTTCTTGGACAGCTTCTTGTTGATGCTAACCATGAATAAGCCAGTCCAGGGGGCCATTGAAAAGCAAAGAGCACCGGCAGCGGCCAGTAGCTTCGATTTGCTGGGGAGGTGGCGCACGGCATAGGCCATGTACCAGTAGCTCAATGCGCAGAAGAGGGTCGGTAGCGGAAAGACCCGACTGGTCCGCTTGAACATGTTGGACCACTGTCGTAGCATGAGGGGAGTCGGCGACTCAAGGAGACGGGGTACGACGAAGAAGGAGAGGCCTAAGTTCAGGCCGGCGAGGGCCGTGTTGAGGAAGACGGTCGACGTCTGGATGTTGCGAAGCGGGTTGGGTTGGGGAGACATTGTATAGATGGTTGCGCGGATCAGTAGGGTGAGGCGTTGTATCTAGCTTGCTTCGAGTCGGCTCGAGGACGGCTGGTGATAATGATGTTGACGAGGTTAAAGAGGAGAAGATGACATGGGGAAGTTGAGGAGACTGAGAGCGACAAGGATGGCAGGTTACGCTCAAGCTCGAGGTCAGACCTGAAGGCAGGAGTAAAGTCCGGTCCTGCAGCGCGGGACGCGGGAAGCGGCGGGGTTCTTGCCAAGTGGGGAAACAGTTCACTGGTTACAGGTGGCAGCTGCAGGTCACTGTGTGGGGAAGACCGAACCTTCCCCCCCAACGACCTTATCCGATCATTACCTAAGGCACGTACCTCGTCAACGGCAATGCTCAATAGAAATTAATCCAGCTTGACTTTACCTCACTGACTTGAAGTTGGGTACACGATGTGGCAAGCTTCAAGGTAGATAGGTAGACGACTCTCTGGAGAGCCGTCATAAATACAAAGAAGGTCAGAGAATGATTATATGCTTCTCGTACATAGATCGGGTTTAATCCAGCGAAAATGCTTTGATTTATAATTCTATCTTACAGAGGTTGCGAACTTGCGATCTCGAGGTGTTGCTGGTAGAATCACAGCCCGACCTGACCATGTAGTTCGAATGAAGCAGAAAGCAGTACAAAAATATATACATCGAGGGGCCTCCAGAGACTCAACAAGCAAGATCCATACATACGATTCATGCTAGTTCTCATGTAATCATGCACCCAGGCTACTTATGACAGAGTTTACCAGTCGTCGAGTTGTAGTCCCATTTGTGACTTCCGACTCCTGACCGGATGTAAAGGCTGGCCGTGGGATCGTACTTATCTTTAATCTCAAGCAAGCGATCATAGTTGCCACCATAAAAGTCCTCTTGGAAGTTGCTGTTGAATGGATTGGCTTCGTTGATGTACGCGCCCGTTCCCGGCGCCCACTTCCGCCACACGGCTTCCTTGTTCTCTTCAGCCCAAGCCGCAGCAGTCACCAAAGCATCTTGTGGTGTAGTGTTCGTCGTATTGATATACGTCCCAGAGCTGATGAGGTGGATGTAGGCGCTTCTCCAAGCAGGGGTCACAGCGCCTCGCATGCTCGCCTCAACCTGACGGGGTCCCAGTCCGCCCTGAAGCCCATACACCAGTGCAGCAGTACCTCCTTCCACCTGAGACTTGGTGATCTCTTGCAAATGGGCTCGAAGTTTCTCAAGGGGAATCTCAGTCAGCTCGCTGCGGCCGAGCAGGCGGCTTGAGATGAGACTGATCTGCGCCACTGGAGTTGCAGGACCGTTGAGGGCGTCGACGAACGAGAGGTACGTAGGAAAGACTGTCGGCTCCGCGATTACCACCGAGAGAGTGCCATTCTCACTTTGCAAAATGCGAGCTCGAATCGGATTCAGAAGGGAAACGAGATCGCTCGCTGTGGTGTTGTAGCCGAAGAAAGTAAAAGTTGCTCCGATCCCCTGAATAACGCCGCTGGAAGACTTTGGCGAAACATTCAATGTTGCTGCGTTGCCAAAGCCTGCTACGCCAGCGTCCATCAGATCTGGGAGGGCGCTGGAGAGTAATGCCATGGCGTCCCAAGATGCGGCGGCAGATGATCCAGTGTCGTTTCCAGTCATGCTCAGGGACAAAGTTGTCTGGACCACGTTGCTTGGGATAGGGTGTGTGCGAAGGACGAACTCCGTGACGATCCCATAGAGACCCGGTCCACCGCCTCGAATAGCCCACAACAAGTCTTGGTTCTGTGCCTCATTTGCCACCAGAATGTCTCCGGCTGTCGTGACCACTGTGGCCTGCAGGACCTGGTCAGCGGCGAGGCCGTAGTGGCTCGAAAGAGGGCCATGGCCACCGCCGCCGATGAAGCCACCGAGACCAACTGTCTTAACCTGTCCGCTGACAAGTATTCTTCCGGTCGCGGCAGTTGCCTCCAAAGCGCGCCCCCAATTGTTTCCGCTTCCAAGAATAGCGACCTTCTCTGTTATGTTCGTCGACGGTCGTGGCCACCGCCTGTCTAGCTTGATGCTTCGAAGCTGATGAGTCCAAATCGACAGCGAATACGCGCCACTGGATCTACGAGGCTGTTAGTTCCCTCAATGACAGTTAGGTAAGTACTTTGCACGCACCTTCCATTCAGGTCGTGCCCGGTTCCTTTAGCAATAATGCGGATGTTTCGCGCGCTAGCCCACTTCACAGCTGTTGCGACCTGTTCGGCAGTCGTGGCATTGAGGATGAACTCTGGCAAGCCTCCAAGTTTACATCCATCGTTCTTGTATGCGTAGTCGCTCGGAGGTACACAGGAGTTGTTGGCCCAGAATGGATAGTCGATGGATTCCGGAAGGGCTGCATGGAATGCGGATGAGGACAAGCCGACGTCAACAGTGTCGCAGGTCAAAGCGGACGAAAAGGGGTTTCCATCATAGCAAGAAGACGCAACGGGTCGGGTCTTGATCAAGGTGCCCCCAACAGACTGGTTCAAGGCAGTCCAGTCGCTATCCCTCGGCCAAGTCGTGTCGTACGGCGTGGCTTTGCAAATTGAGTCAGCCGAGACGATGCTCGATAAGAGTAAGGTTATGGGCAAGTAGCGAATGAACATGATGGGCGTTTTTTCTTGACTTGGTTGTCACATCGACTTAACTTGGATGATGGTGGCAGGCTTGCTACATTATGTACTTAGCTTACTATCTAAGGCGCTTTGAGAAGAGCGACAGCCTACCGGTGAAGTCTGTAGTGCCATTTGATGTCTGATTGAGCCTGATACACGTATAACGATAGTTCAATGTGTGAGCACCTTAGCTAGAAAATGGCTACATGTTGTCGGCGACTCCGATGACCATCCCTCATGGGCAACGAATAATGTTACGCGTCGTCTCTGTATCCATCGTGGGTCTCAGTGTTGACCGCGTATCGAACATCATCGAGGGAACAAGCTTCAACCTGAAATAGCTGGATTGAACACCGAGTTGCTCGCCCTGGCTCTGCCCCTTTTGAGCCCATGGCAGCGTGGCTAATTGAGTCAATGCAGAGGTAGCAGGGGTAGACAAGATGCCGAACCCGCGTTCCCGCAGGCCCATTTTACGCTCCATCAGGGAAACTCATCTCGTCCAGAGCATCGAAGTTCCCAAGATTGCAGATCGAACACCAACATGCGACTGACAGCTGGGCATCACTCTGATGATCGTAACCCAAGAGCTACCAAATTTCTGACTAGCATGCCGGATCTCATCACCTGATTTCTCGTGTAGCGATAGCAAATTAAAGACTACTGCGTTTAGTATTTGATGATATGCGATTGATTGCCGTCAAATTGAGATATTACAATGCTAAATTGCTAAAGATATCTCATCTTTGTCATTCACCAGGATTCATGGCGACGCGCAAGGTCTTGCACAAGTCATAAAAGTAGAACGCGAGCAAACGTTGCGAGATATTGTGACGTTTCAATATGATCAATTCTGACTATAAGAGGCTTTGCAATGCGAAGATTCTGCTGATGTTATTAGCTCGCGATCTCATGTTAGGCATGGCTAATATTCCCGTGACCATACAGGGGATAGCTATGGGCCCCATTCAATGGAAAATCTTCGTCTTCCTTCAAGTTCCCATGGTCCTCCAGTACTATGCTGGGATGAAACACCGAGAAGACTATCGAAACCACGGTCATGAGAAGCGCATCCAGCACATAAACGTATATCTCCTTCTGAATCAAGCTGCCGTTGTGACCCTGCGCATATTCTACCATGCGAAAGATGGAGCGAACCATGATGAGCAAACTCGAAAAATAGAGAACCCATATGAACTTCTGCCAAGGAATCTGTGTATGCAACGATTTCGTTGTCGGTCTCAAGGTGATTCGAATTTGGAAGACGGTTGTGACAATCATGAAGAAGCCGAAGAAGACGACTTGTATTCCTAGGCCGAGGAGAATGACGTTGTTACCCATGTTTTGGGATGATTCGGATTTCGCAGTTGCAAGGAGACCACCACCTAAGACTGAAAGTTAGCTCTCCTTTCACAAGAACCTGATGATTCTGAGGCTCATGAAGAGACCGAGAATTGCAAACATGAGACACGCACCTCCACCTTGCCCGAAGATGGACAGAATGTCACCCATGAGAAAGAATTTCGTCAACCATTTGACTCGGATGAGGGAGTACGAGTTTGCGTCGAGGTTGGTGACCAGGCGACCAAGCACCATGTAAATTGAGGCGGCATAGAAAGCCGGGCCTAAGAGGATGAGCATGCTTTGTCCTACATATGGCATCAAAGTCCAATCGGGGGTTTGCTTTGCAGAATAGCTCCTCGCAGCGTAACCCAGAGTTTCGACTGAATACAATAATGTGTCAGTAGCGATCATGTAGAGGGCGAGCCTTCGTCTCCAACAAAATTACTCACAGAGGCATCCCACAAAGAAAGGAATGAAGCACCAAGTTCGCGTCTTGATCAATAAAATCAAGTGGCGAATGGATAAGCCTCCAAATAGTAATGCAAACAGAACCGCTGCAGCAAAAGAAGGATCATAGTAGTACAGTTTAAAGCCGGAATCGGCTCTTGGTTGGAGAGTGGCGAGCATTGTAAAAGACGGCAGGGATACAATACAGAGTAGGTAGAGATGGCAGAGAGGGCCAGTATACTGACTACCTATCAAGTAAAGACATGGCCTCACGGTTGTCTTTTAAGCATCTTTTCAGCGCTTTCTTCGTGAGCATCTCAGTAAGTGTTCCTTGATGGCTTCCAGAATCACTTCTCTGTCGTACCATTGGCTGCACGGTCAACCTGCAAGTTCGCATCTGTGAAGAGCTTTATCCGCGGATACGTGCACACAAGCGTCTCACTATGGCATGAAACCGCGGGTAAGGCATCTAAGGCAGACACCCCATTCCCAATCGTTTAGGCTGCGTCAATCATTAGACATGGCGCTCCTCTATCCCCCAAAGCCCCTTGTGCGACAAGGACAGAACACTTCCGCGTGTTGGCGGAGTCTACTACCATATGATAGATTGAATCCGCGGTTATATGTTCCTGTTAATAATTTGTAAAAAGACGGTTTCACCATTTTGAGGGCTGTAATTCGGAGGAGTTGACTTGGCGAAGATCGCGGGCCGATGGTCAACGCAACCGTTGCGGGGGCTTGCTAGGCGAACACGCGCGGATAGATGGCTCATAATCTGCGTATGCTCATTTTCTCCTAGCCCATAGATCGTTCTTGACGAGTTATCACTGCGGAGCACTCGAGTTACAGGAAGGTATCTTAGTATCCTCCCCGCGTTCGGAATGCCTGCAAGCCTAGTCGAGGGCAGGTCGTTCATGGTACTTATACCGGCGAATGTTCGCTATCTTAATTAATAACTTTCATTTACCACTCAAAGTTTGAATTCGCATCATTACCCAGACAGAGGAGAATCTTTCCCGCATCATGTTCAGCAAAGTCTGGTTCTTTGCGGCCGGTGCCACGTTCCTCGGACCAAGCTTAAGCCAATCACTGCCCGCTGGTCATTCACTTTGTAAGGACTCTCGACTTTATCGTATCGTTGATTGTTCAACAGTTACTGACATTTTGCGTTACTTCAGCTTGGACTGAGGCTTCCGTGGCAGCCAAGGACTTCGTGTCTCAATTGACGACAGTCGAAAAGATTGGTCTTGCCACAGGAGGTTACTCGAGTCCCAACCTTCCATGCGTAGGTACGATCGGATCTATCGAGCGGCTGGGATTCGAGGGAGTGTGTTACTCTGATGGACCAAGCGGGTACTCTCGTTCCGACGGTGTCAGTGTCTTCCCTGCTGGGATCTCGACGGCGGCCACTTGGGACAAAGACCTCATGTACCGACGCGCTGTCGCCCTTGGAGAAGAGTTTAGAGCTAAGGGGGCTCACGTTCACTTGGGGTACGTCTGACTTCTTCTATAATATGGAGTGTTGAGTAACACTGACTGCCTCCTAGTCCATCTTCGGGACCTTTGGGCCGCCACGCAGTAGGAGGCCGTAATTGGGAAGGCTTTGGGCCCGATCCCTATCTGGCTGGAGTTGCCATGAATGCTTCGGTTATCGGTATCCAATCCGTCGGCGTGCAGGCCTGCTCGAAACATTTCATAGGAAACGAACAGGAAACCCAACGAACTTCCACTATCAGCGATAACGGCACAACTATTGAGGCGATCTCGTCGGATATTGATGGCCGGACTCTGCACGAGCTTTATCTATGGCCCTTTGCCAATGCGATAAAGGCTGGTACAGCAAGCATCATGTGCTCCTACAACCGGGTCAACGGAAACTACTCCTGCGCCAACTCAGAGACAATTTCGATTCTGAAAGATGAGCTGGCATTCCCAGGCTATGTGGTTTCCGACTGGTATGCTACCCACGAGACGTTGAGCTCCGCCAACTCCGGGCTGGACTTGGAGATGCCGGGTAATGTCAGTGCCGCGGCTGGGGCATCCTACTTTGGCGATTCACTCCTCGAGGCAGTCAACAGCGGCCTCGTTTCAGCAGACCGGCTTGGTGACATGGCAACAAGGGTTTTGACGCCGTATTTTTTGCTTGGGCAAGATAAGAAATTTCCTCCGACTGATCCGTCTAGCGGAGCTGCATTTTTGCGCTATCAGTACGGCCATCAAGTCCAACTTCCATTGACCTACCCAGAAGTCCCTGCTCGCGATGTCAGAGGCAATCACGCGGAGCTCATCCGGGATATCGGCTCTGCAGGAACCGTACTCCTGAAGAATGTCAACGGCACTCTGCCTTTGACCGACGAACTCAATGTCGGGGTTTTCGGCAACGATGCCCCTTACCCAACCATAGGCTCGGTCTTCCTTGACATCGGGACTCGGCCAGAAGGATTTGAGATGGGCACTGTCGATATCGGCGGAGGCTCTGGGACCGTTCGGCACACGGACTTGGTGAGCCCTTTCGAAGCTATTCGAAAGCATGTAGAGTCTATCGGTGGGCGAGTGCAGGCATTGTTCGACAACGACGAGCTTGTGGATGGCCGCTTCAGAACGATCTACCCTGTCCCAGATGTCTGCCTTCTCTTTCTCAAATCCTACGCTACTGAGGGCCAAGACAGACAGTCCGCTGAGCTACAGTGGTCAGCTACGAAGGCCGTCGAGAATATCGCGGCAGTGTGCCCCAACACTGTCGTCGTCATCCATGGACCTGGAGTGGTGGTCATCCCGTGGGCAGATAACGAGAACGTAACGGCTATCCTGAACGCTCATTACCCGGGAGAACAGACGGGAAGCTCCATTGTTGATGTTCTTTGGGGGATGGTCGAGCCTTCGGGCCGTCTTCCCTATTCCATTCCGGAGAACGAGTCGGACTACGGTCCATCCATTGTCAATCTGACAGGACCTATCACCGACCCAGATGCCTGGCACTCTGCTTTCGAAGAAGGGCAAATGATTGACTACCGGCACTTGGACGCGAATGACATCGAGTCTCGGTATGAGTTTGGATTTGGACTGTCTTACACGGAATTTGACATGGAAGACGCTCTGGAGATTGAGGTCGATGCGAACGTCTCCTCCGTCGCGGATGAAGCGAACGGCGTCGAGCCGGGCGGACTGAGCGACCTCTGGAAGGTGGTAGCCTCAACCTCGATCCAGGTCACCAATTCAGGAGATCTTGCAGGGTCAGCCGTGCCCCAACTCTACGTCTCTTTTCCGATCTCTACAACACCCGAGGGAACGCCAGTCAAGGTTCTGAGAGGTTTCGAGAAGGTGCATCTTGAGGTCGGTGAAACCAGGTCTGTGGCTTTTCAGCTCATGAGAAGGGATTTGAGTTTCTGGGATACGGAGAAGAAGCAGTGGGTTATTCCAAGTGGTACGTTCCGCTTCATGGTAGGATTCAGCTCGAAGGATATCAGAGCTCAGGCCGAGGCCCAAGTGATTTCTTAGGCGAAGAGGGCGTACTGGGCGCTTTCAGGCAGGGTTTTTCACCTTTGAGGTTTTCCTTGCAAATACTCTATCCCGATATATGATACGCGAATATAATTAAGCATTATATTTTGATCGTTGATAAGTAGTTAGGGGATAGTTATAGATCACTGTCAATTCCGATCTTATGCTATGGAACGGCTGTAGCCTTTTGAGAGCCGCGAGCCCCCATCCATGCCTTCAAGCCTGAGGTTTCCATTGTATTTGTCTCATGGACGAACCTCAAGTTGGAAAGTAGTGAGAAGTGGGTAAGAATATTGATCGGCTCCGACGGCGACGGGGTTTATAGAAAATGCCCGGTGGTCCGGTACACCGCTAGAGTTCTTGGAAAGGCATCTCACTTAAATCAACCGTCGACTCGTGAATAAATTAGCTCGGAGCTCCCGTCGATCCAAGCCATTCCATGGAGACCACAGTGCGTTAAGATCTTTTACTTGAAGGTCAACACAAGACTGGCGAGCCAAGTAAGTATGGGAACGCATTGCTTCCGCGCTAGATGCCGCGTCGATGCACGGGAAGCGGGGCGCCGTTCGTAATACGCGTGTAAGGCAAAAGTTGAAAAGACACTTATCAAGCCAAGCCCCAACGCGCGAAACAAAGCCTTAGCCCCTGAAATAAGCTTCTGGATCTGTAGAAAACTTAGAGATTAAATATAGCCTAGCAGATCCTCAAGGACCGTTTCCGCGCGTTTTCTCTTTGATTATACCTCATGAAATTCCGCGTATCTGGTGTTCCCTGATATCTTCTTCCGCGGCTTACACACATATCGACATGTCAAAACAACTCCTCGACCGGCTGGCAGGCCGCCGAACGCACCGCAAGTCGAGAAACGGCTGCAGCGGCTGTAAGAAACGCCACATCAAATGCGATGAGACTCGACCGGAATGTCGGAATTGCATCATGGCGGAGCGAGTATGCTCCTACTTGAAAACGGAGCCCAACGACAGCTCCTCAACAGTATCCTCCACAGCAGCCATAGTCTGCACCGGCATTGCAACACCCAGAGAGATCAGCGCTGACAGGTGTTTGGCTATTCCCAAAGACCCTGGAGAGGTGTACTCGTGTACCGGGCAGACTTTCACAGCGAGCCACATGGCTTTCCTTCACTATGCTCAGTCAAACATGTCAGAGTTCATGGCCCTGACTGGCAACATACGGCCTCTTATCGATACTGCAATCGAACACTCTCTTACGGCCCCGTATCTTCTGGACCAGCTCCTCGGGTTATCATCTCTTCATCTTTCAACGCAGAATGGGTCCAAGGCGTCCATGTACTTCCACCAAGCTACCGAGTTACAGACGCGAGCATTGGGTTTCTTCAACCAGACAAAGGAGCACATCTCGGACACGACGTACATCCCAACCTTTGTATTCGCTTCTCTCTTGGGCATACATGTTCTTTACGAAACACTGCAATGGCACTGTGGCTCTCTCGCAGACTTCATCGATGCTTTTGTCAATTACTCGCGTCTCCATCGAGGGGTACGATCCATTACCGGGAAATACTGGGACGAGATACTGCAGTCTGACCTGAAGCCCCTACTCTTCATCGTGGACATCATGAACAAAGAGCCCGTGCAGACTCCAGGTCCAGAAACGAAGCAGTTGAAAGAATTCCTGGAAAGTATACCAACACCTTCTGCGTCGACAAATGTTTGCATCACGGCGCTCGAAAAGCTTCAGTGGGTTATCGACCTGACCAGAGCACAACCATCAAAGTTTGAGGTCGGTGTCCATGCTGTCATGGCCTGGCCCCTATGTATTCCGGACGAGTATATCGAAGCACTGCACCAGCATCAACCGGAAGCCTTTGTCATTTTAGCCTATTACGCTGCGATGCTCCATAGGTACCGGCGGTTCTGGGCATTCGGGGGTTCTGGCGCTCCCATAGTCCATTTGATCACGAATAGTGTTGGGTCCTTCTGGCAAGATGTCTTGGCTTGGCCACTACAGGCGCTAATTGAAAGTTGAACCTCTGGCTGCATGTACTTCAGCCCCTTTTACTCAAGACTTGACACCCTTGGGTCACCTTCCCTCTGACGTATATGTATTATCGCCCGCAAGACCATCCCGCCGGTCCGATCATCCGGTCCAAGCTCAGTCCTCGACTCAAGCCTCCGTTCCAGACGGCCGGTACGAGTCGCTCTTCGGAGAACAGGCATACACTCATAAGCAGTCGGACTGCGTAAGCCATGTAACCCTGTTATGTGACCTTTTTGGTGTACATGTTGCGGACCGAAGAGGAAGTCGGAGTTGAGACATAGCGAGGCTTCGATGCAGTGACCCATCATGTTGATAACGATGCTATTCCTTTAATTCCTGCCAGGAGTCGGCCTCACTCTTGCCTTCAGCTGCGTGGGTCTCCTCGTGTTATCTCTGTACAATATATCAAGCATTTGGATCGACGTGTGGGTCGATCATGTTCATCCTGTCCAAGGGTCCCATCTCAACTGCAGGAGAGCCATCGAGACAAAGTTCATCGTCTCAAAGAACGCTGAGCGAAGCCGGTTCGATGCTTCTAGATTCGTCTGAAGTGAACATGGAACCACTGCTCTCGCCCTGCGAGCAGCTCGCGACTTACTTGAAATCAGTAAGGTTCACGACAAATATCCTAGCCATGACTCGGTAATTCCAGAGAGGGATGCCATTTTCAAGTGCGGCATTATTCGAAGGGAACAAAGTCTTTAGCAAGGTTATCTGTCCAAGAGCTGAGAACGTGGACTCCATGGGATGAACAAAATCTAATTAATTATGTAGAAATTAATCACTTTCAACCCAATCGAAGTATTAGCCCAGGCTATACGACATCAAGCCTTCCTTCCCTCGAAATGTCAAGTTCATCCAGTATTATTCGGTTCTAGAGGAAATAATTAGTCCACCAATTTCACAGTTGAAAGCAGTCGGGGAAGCCATGCGTGTCTCCGGCCAGCAACTGAGTCAAGTCACGTCACTCAAGCACCTTATCACACAACAAGGGAGACCCGCAGAGCCCGTTTCTAGAACATCTCTCACCCACGCGCTTGGATCAAAGAACCCTCAAACCCAGGCGCGAAGCTTAAATATTGGAGATCCCAGATGGCTAAGGGGGACGATCGCTCAAAACGCGGGCAGCGAAAGCTTAGCACGCCCGCATTGGGAAATTCTGGTCCCCCAACCCAAGCGACCGGGGCCACCATACGAACAAAAACACCAACGTGGGAGTCATGTATCCGTACTCCGTGAGAACTGGAACACGCTATCGTCAGCTTCACATTGCGCGAATTTGCTGACGAGGCTGTTTCAAGTACCCTGAGCACTGCCATCGGCGGTGCCGTTTTACACAGAAACAGTAGAAACATGCGTAGAAACGAGCTAAACCAACAGCTGAACCATTGCTTGAGATCGTGAGGGGGAGAAGAATACTTAAACACGACGAGAGCCCGGCTATGAATTGCTTAGAACTTCATCAAGTCGCATCAATCATTCCATCAAGTCCTGGTAGACTAAAGCCACTCACTCAACAATCACCACACTCGCTCTCACAAATAACCTACTTTACTTTTCAAAACAACCTCCACATCCTTCATCATGAAGTTCACAACCACCCTCGCGGCCATCGCTACAATCGCTCTCTCAGTGTAAGTCAATCACGCACCCACCCATCAAAACATACCACCCCGAGCCTCCATAACTAACATCCCTCCCTCCACCAGCAAAGCAGCAGACCGCGTCCAATGCGCCGGCACAATCGACACGGCCCCCAACAAAGGCCGCTACGAGCCCTCCGGCTCCCTGACCGCCAACCTCACCCAGGTCGCCTGCAAGAGCGGCACCATTGACGGCGCTCTCAGGGGCAACCAAAAGTGCTGCATCTCCAACGACAAAGGCGCTTTCGGGACGGCGTGTGGCAAGGCCGCCTTTCCGCCCCAGTTCTCGAGCGGATTCAAGGCTACGTTCCAGCCTTGCTGAGCGATGTTGTCGGACCTCTTTTGGGTCGTGATGTTGGAAAGGGGACTCGACGGGACGGTGGTTTTGGGAGAGGAATTCCTGTTTTTATGATAGCGAAGCGATTTTTTCTCTTTTAGAAGTAGATTAGGAATGAGAAATCAGCAAGGTGTTGGTTTCAATGCAGCTTTGGGACCCCGTGAATGCTCAGGATTAGTGCTTGACTTTGAGGTTGGATATCGACAGCATTTCGCACTTCCTCCACAAGGTACACGTCTAAATAGTACGCACCTACATGAAAGGCCATGGTTTCTGCAATTCGTGGAGTCGAAAAGTCTCAGGCCATACCCTACACCCATAATTTCGACCAGCAGGCCGTGGACGGCATCACGCCCACAGCCAACTCGTGAGGGAAGGTGGTCGAATCAAGGATACTAGCACCGCCAAAGACATATCGTATTGCCCCTGACGGGCAGAATCGCAAGCCAAGTATTTAGGTACTAGGTAGGTGCAAGGACACAAGCAAGTAAGCGAATTCACGTTGGCAGATGAATCAGGGTGGCCTTCGTCTCTCATCTCATTCCTTTTGATTGTATTTTGTTTCCTATCCCATCTTGATGGGTCCTTTTTCGAGCCTGACCCTGCCGGTATATCTAGATCCTGCACCACCCTGCTTTTCCGTCGCATATCCAATTGAAAAGCGGAATAAGCTTGCATGGCGCGAACCTTAATATCAACTTGGTATCTTCATCCATACAATCCCCCATCCGTCCACCCTCTCCAAGATACCGAACTTCCTGCGCAGGGAAAGCTGAAGGACCACGCATCCAACCTCGTTTGATGTCATAACCCAGTATTTTGCTACATGAGAATTACCAGAAAAGCCCTCCAGCCATGTCAACCCTCAAGTTGATCGAGGATGACATGATCAACAAAGCCGTGCTGGGAATACTAGCCTCAACCGCCCAACACTGCTCATCAGCATACCTGAGATGTGGCAGTGCCACAGTGGGGACCAGTGAAGCGAATTGCCAATGTGCCACTCACGCCGGAGGAGGTTGACCGGGGGTTGACGTTTGACTTCGAAGCTCGAGCTGGCACATCACATCCGCAAAAGAAGTGGAAAGAAAAGAATAAACGCCGCCCCAACCCAACCCAATCCAAGATCACACAACTCCGATCCAAACAGGCTTCTTCCTGCAATGAAGACTCCCTGAGATGTGACTGGCAATAAGTCTCCGAGAGACTTGCTCGAGGCAGAATCTAGCCCGGGTGCGGAGTGGATGACCTTTCGTATTCACTCGAAGTAGCCTGGGGGACAAGCAAAGTTTTTGATGTACAGTATTCGTCGCTGCGTCGTATTCTGATGAAAGAATGCCCAGGTCGCTTGGCAGCGTCAACGTAAACAATGGCGGCGTTGTAGTATGCCGTGTTTTGATATATGCTCCCCAGCCGGGAACACGTCGTAACGTCATTTAGAAACTTTTCGCTTTTCCCACAAAAGCGTCGGGTATTTTGGTTGTCGGTTCCATATATCGTATTTTTTCTCGTTCTTCGGCCTGCAAACCCCTTTTTGTGTCCCGTCGAAATCTGCATCCTCGTCCGTAAGTGTGCCCTCTAGCAACTGAAAGTAGTCGCCGGCGACCTCCAGCTAATCTCTCTCGTCCAATGAGAGTAGTCGAACGTCATTGGCATCCCACAAAACCGCGTACATCAATACCCTATTCGCAAGGAATGACAGACTTCTCGGCCCTGGCCCGCATGTGAGTAGCGTGAGTCTCGAGGCATCGGGCCATCAAGTGAGTGACTGGCCAGACAGCAGCTTTATCGAGCATGTAAGCCGTAACTCTGAGGATCTTGGCAGCGTGGCCTGCGTGATCGTCCATTTGCATCCTTGTATCGACGCCTGCAATGTTTCCCTGTACAAGCTCAAAGTTCATCTTCATCTCTGCGGAGGCTAGCACCTCCTGAACCTTGCCGAGCAGTTTGACATCTTCCTCTTCTAGAAGCATAATCGCAGGGACTTGCGATAGATCGACGTCATCCTGGCCGAGGATTCCCAGGTACCGGCCTACTCGATCTTGCAGGGTTGCGACCCATTCAGCCAGAACCTGAGCACAATCGAATGCGCACATGGCTGACTGTAGAGGTAACTCTCTGCTGGAGAAGTCCGCAAATGTGACACCTAGTTTGTCAGACATGGCGAGCGAGTCTGCCGCGTAAAAGGCAGCCTTGCGGAGATGCTTCTCTCTACGAGAAGTGGACCGATTTGGTGCAGCCTGGGCCTGCGGGAATTTGACGGCGGAAAACTCTGGAGATGATGATGACTGGGTGGCTGGAGACTCGACAAATACGGAGCTTGAAACCGAATTATCAGAATGATCTGTGCCTGTCGATTCCGGGTTAGAGGCGGGCGAATGCTCGGCGTGCTGGACAATCTCGCTGCCCCGGGAGAGCTCGTCAGCCATAGCATCCCAATCACGTTGCCAAAACTTCTCCTTTGAGCGGGCGAGGTTCACAAAAAGTCGTACGTAGGCCAAGTCGAGAAGTGGAATGGCATCGGCAGACAGCGGTCCAAGCCCGAACGGGTTCGGTCTCTCAAGGCTGTGGTTTGGGTTGCTTGCCCAGGCTGCCTGCCAGGCCTTCAGGGCTGGTTCAATGTGGCGATGCATCTTTTCGGTTTCTTCGTTGGTCCATACCTTGTTGTGATGGCGCTGACGTGTCTCCCAGATGTAGTTGTGTAGTGCGTTGATCAAGATGAGACAACCAAACGTCGATGGCTTGAGATCGCTCTTGAGGTCGTTCATGCTACCTTGACCGAATACCTGTTGACCGTTCTGGAAGGCAAGCTGCTTTTGCTGCTTCTCGTTAGACCTGAGCAGGTCGCCCAAGGCTTCATGGAAGGTCATCCGGTTATGATTTGCAGCGTGGACACCGCCCTTGGCCGCGAAGGCCGTGGCACTCTCGGCAGCGAAGAAATCCTCATCGCACGGCAGGTCGAGCAGGATTTCCGAGTTGGTCAAAGCCGGAGTGTGATTGTATGCCGCAACCAGAAGGCTTGAGAGGATGAAGACGACGTAGAGGGTACGCTTGCGCTCCTCCATAACTTTCCATCGGAGCCACTCAATATGCTCCTCGGAGTCCGACCGAAGGCCGCTCCACGTATCGTCATGCATGTGGGTATCATGAGCTTCTGTGGATTCCACGCGAATGGGGCGGAGCAGGTCGGCAGCTTGGGCCAAGCTGACAAGAGCAGCACAGTGGGTGGATGCGATATCGCTGGCCGTCTTGTCTCCGCAGTTGTGGCCGTAGACGACATTCAGGAGCATGGCTTGCACCAACCATACCGGGGTGTGAACAGAGGATTCCTGGTTGTGAGACGTCGGGTCAGATGCTGGAGCTCTCCGTAAGTCGGCCTTTCTCACGTCGGCTTTCCGCCTTTCCTCAAGGTACAGTTGAATCATTTTCTTGGCCATCTCGAAAAGTTCTCGAGACTGGACGTGGTCCATTTCGTACAAGGCGCCAATGGCAGACATGGAAAGAATGAGACACCCGCTCCCACCGACGGTGTTGGATCGGTTGGCAGCGGTGGGTGGCATCTCAAAAGTCAAAGTGGGAATGTGCAAAAACGGCAAATGAGGGTGGAAGTAACGAAGGTAAGCGCCAACATATCGTTGTAAGTCTTGAGTGCTAGGTAAATTCTTTACATGGTCTGGAACACTGTTGGCTGTGTTCTGAAAGCCCGGCGACATTGGCGAGCTTGGAGTCGCAAATGAGTATCTCCGTCCACCAAAGGGAGAGCACTGCGAAAGAGCACCAACGATGGCACCTCGGGTCGTTTCCGTAATGGTGGAGACGGGCGACACACCGTGGTTACCGCCGTTCAAGGACGAGGGGGTCTCTGGCCCTCCGTTGAAGTTGAGCGCTTGGTTGAGGTTTTGCGTGTTGAGTCCGGAAACCATCGACGGACTGAGGGAGCTAAGAGAGGGAGGCGGCGTCGAGAAATAGGCATCGTTCATTTTCTGCGCAGCAGGTTGTGGTGAGACGGGTGCTCCGTTTAAGAGATCTGGGAAGACCGAACCATTTAGATCCATGGCAAACGGGTTCGGGACCTGGGGAGGACCCATAACGGCCGGTTGCCACATTGAACTTGTCCCTGCCGGAGCAGGGTGATGATTGGAGCCGTCCACCATTACATCGCTAATGCCACTTTGGCTGGTGGTGCTAATTGCCGAGGGACTCGAGCCGTCTACGGCGTTATCGGCGCCCTGAAAAGACATCTGGTGCTCGAAGCCGGTCAGCCAGTCGAAGCTGTCGTCCAACTGCGTCGTCGACATATCGCCGGCCAGGCCATGGGGAAACGGCGAAGCTTGGTCCATGGCCATGGATTGCGGCGAATCATTGTAGTGGAGCGCGTTAGGGTTGATGGTGGAGCCCGGCCCGAACAGCAGACCCTCGAAGTCAAAGTCGGGATTGAAGACGGCCATGGGAGGGGCGGTCCGCAAGCCGCTAAAGTCCATATTGTTGATGCCGTGCGTCTCGAGCTTTGGCAAGCCGTGAGACATGCCTCTGTGACCCATCGCAGCCGACATGCCAGCAAAGTCCATGTTATGCACGGGCAGCCCCGCGAGGCTGGGGTGACGGCTGTGTGTGCCAGGAGGCATGCCCCGCGCTACCTGTGCGTTGGCCGCGGCAATCATCTGCATAGCGTTGCCGTCGACATGGCTGATGGTGTTTGCCCTGGGTCGCATCGAAGCAGCAGCGGCATTTGCGGCGGCGGCAGCATTGGGACCAGCGACGCTGTTCTTACGTGCGCGGGCTCCAGGTGCAGCACTGCTGGCACTCTCACGACGATTGCGAGGACGTGACGAGGGTGTGGTGGTCTGGTGAAGCTTCTGCTGGTGTCTCAGCAGCAGATCGCGACGGGCAAAGCATCTGGTGCACTCGGGACACTCGAAGGGCTTCTCCTTTGTGTGGGAACGCTCGTGACGTTTCAGATGCTCCAATCGGGCGAAAGAGCGCTG